CAGGAAGCACTAACCGTGGAGGGTATGAAAAAAGTCCAAAGGCTCGAATGCGGCGATAGAATGTGCACATAGTAACAGGTCTTCTCCAAACCATTGGTCAGCGATCCGCGGTAGTAGCAAAACGGTCTCGTAGGGCTATAAATTGTTGGAGCATCTCGACAATCATCGCGTATATATCTGAGGTATAATTAATTTATAATGGAGTGTATGACATGAAGTGGAAAAGAGTTTTATAAAGATCTTGGGTACTACTCTTGCCTAGAGCGTCAGACCCAGAGCCAAGATATTGAGAAACTGGTTGAAACTCTTTGGATTGCATATTTAGAAAAGCTACACGCTCTATTTCAACGTAGATATCTTAGGTGTCACTGAAAGCTGGTTGAAGAGAAATGTAAATTCAAGCAGCATTAAGATCAACAAATATCAGGTAGAGAGGATCGATAGAGATGGTAGAGGTGGCATATTGCTAAAAATTAAAAACAACGTTAGGTATATTACTTTATACAAAAACACTGACGCTAATGTAGAACAAATTTGGATACAGTTCAAATTATACAAAAAAAACGAAAATTTTAGGTGTAATTTACAGACCTCCCAAAGATAACATAGGAAATTTGTTTTAATTCAGCTGAATCACTTTTAAAGATTGTACCACAATGCGATGAAGTTTTGATTTTGGGGGATTTCAATATTGACTTATCTCGCAAGGATCTGTTGTCATAACTTTGTGGATCTTCTAGAATCCTAATTTAAAACAAATGATTGATTCGCCAACTAGAATTACGCCTACTTCACGTACTTCATTAGATTTATCATGGGAACTAATACAACAAACGTGACTCATCAAGAAACCATCACATTACAAGATATTTTGGACACCTCCTAATTTCTTGTACTATAGGCAACGAAAAGGGGTCTGCGTTTTCTCCTGAAATAGTGAAAAGCCGTTCATGCCAGCATTTTGATTACAAGTTTTTCTGCAGTTTACTTACTACTGTCAACTGGAATCTATTTTATACTTTTACTGATTCAAACGTCGTGGTTTCCTTTCTTATAGAGCAGTTGACTCGCATAATTGACGTTTGTTGTCCCACATACGAATATAAAGTGATTAGAAAATGTAGTCCATGGATAACCGATCATGTGAAATTACTTAGAAATTTTCGAAATTCAAAGAAACAGGTATAAAATCTTATTGGAAGCATTATGAAGAATTAACGAACGATACTAAAAATACAATTCAACGTGAACAAAAATCTTTCATAGAATTTTCACTCAAACAAGAAAACACTGATTTAACGTGGCAACGTCTTCGTCATATAGGGATTCTGAACAATAATAAAAATTCTACTCCCCAACATTTGAACAAACCAAATGAAATCAATGAATATTTTTAAATTTACCAGTAGTCAACAGAACCCAACACCAACTAAGATCACTTAAAAAGTATCATAATCACGACCACAATGATCCGCGAAGATTTATTTTTAAATCAGCAAGTCCCTCAGATATATCCAAATGCATCCGACGAATCAAAACAGAAACAGTTGGTCACGAGAGTATCTCTAGGAGGATGTTGCTATTACTATCATCTTCTTAATCACGTTACTTTTATTATTAACAGTTGCTCCTTCATCCATCAAATATATTTCCAGATATGCGGAAAATTTCAAAAGTGTAAAACAAATATCAGACCTCAGACCAATAAGTATATTACCAATCATTTCCAAAATTTTAGAGAAAATTATAGAACGACTAATTTCCCAATATATCGAAAATAAATGCATTATACCTTATGTTCAATCTGGTTTCCGAAATTCTTGTGAATCAACAACAGCGCTTGCTTGTATCGTCGACGACATTTTTAGTTCACTAGATTGCGGTGAAGCTGTTTGTTTAATATTACTTGATCACAGTAATGCTTTTGATACAATTCACCTCGAAATTTTGTGTGAGAAGCTTAGATATTATGGATTTAGCTCTGCCGCCCAACTTAACAAAAGCTTCCTTACTAAAAGATAGCAGAATATCTCCATTATTAACGAATAGACCGGTCCTAAAAATGGGTGTACCCAAGGCTCCATTCTCAGTCCTCTTTTATTTTCTATATACATTTCGGATTTTTCAAAATACCTATATAAAACACAGCAAAATATACAAATATAATACAACTTTGCCATTGACGATGTGGTTTCGTCTTTTAATCTAACCCATATATGCCTAGCCTACCATTTATGGTACACCGTAAACAAGTCACTACTAGCAACGCCCTGTGGTTATTTTGACACGGTAATGGTATTGAGGTTTCCTTGCGATTTTGTGCAGAAGTTTTTATTTGTTGTGACATGTCTGAATATGGAATACGATTTGCCAAGTAGGTAAATATATTGTCTTTACGTAAATCAAAATTTTTTTTGATTCCTTCTACCAATATAGCAAACATGCTTTTTTCCATTTATAATGCCAAATGTTATTATTTCGGATTCAGAATTGCGTCATTATTTTTGAGTGTGCCAAATATTGTACGCCAGAAAAATACATGCCCATTTCATGTTTAGGACTTTTTCTCTGGAGGAAGCCCTTGCTATGCTGGAGACTGATGAAGATATAGAAGCAAATGTGGATAATATCACATTGATGCCTCCAGTGAATGCTTGTGACATTCTCACAGATGAGGAATCCGGCGGTGAGAATGTAATGACAGCTGATATATATACCTAATAAAAAATTGAATATATCTTCATCTGATTCCGAAGACAATATTCCATTGTCGGAATTGGCTAAAAAAAAATAAAGAATAAAAGGCTAAAGAAACGAAAAACCTATAATTGGGTGAAGGAGGATCTACCACAAGATGTTCTAGGAAACCTTGAAGAAATTTTTAAACAAAATAATTCTTCTAAGACTCCACTTGAATGGTTTTCACTTTTTTTTTTTGTTTTGACTACTGAAACAAATAGATATGTCAGGCAAAAGAACCGCCAACAAGAGGTGCAAGAATATGAAATAAGGGCATTTATTGGAACACTAATATTGAGTGGTTATGTTGATGTACCACGTAGAAGAATGTTCTGGGAACGTGAAAGAGATGCTAATAATCAACTCGTCACAGAAGTGCTTAATGATATAAATTTGAGTGTATTATGTCAAATTTCCATTTAGTAGCAAGGAGTCAAGTTTGCAAAAGTTAGACCTTTATTTGCGAGCCGAAATCAAAAATTTATGGAACATGGAATTTTGACAGAAATTCATAGTGTAGATGAGGCAATGTTTCCTTATTTTGGGAGACCCTCATGCAAACAGTTCATTCACGGAAAACCTATACGATACGATTATAAATTATGAGTTGGCGCATCAAGACTAAGCTACGTGTACTGGGCTGAACCTTATCAAGGGCCATCAACCAATATTAGTAAGAATTATGCAGATTTGGGGGTTGGTGCTGGTGTGGTATTAGAGTATTCTGATGCACTGAGGAGAAAATGCCGCCATCTTTTTCCAGATTACGTTCTTCGGCTAATGAATATATAGATATTCGCTTTGACCTTTTAGATCATTTTGTGAAACCACAAGAAAAGCCTACTCGATGTGGTTTATGTCATGATAGGGCAAAAACAAGGTGCTCTTAGTGCAATGTATTGATGCATGTAAAATGTTTTTTATCCTTCCATACAAAACCTTAATGTTCGCCTATGTGCCTAGTGCACCATATTTTGTACGGCATTTTTCTTACACTGTTTCTTACAATAAAATTTAAAAAATAATAAGTTTGTTCAAAACATGCTTTATATAGAATGAATTTGCAGAAAACATAATTTATTATAGTTTATTTCAGCTTTAGGCACATCATCTGGGCTAATTAACAACGATCTGGACTTACTTTTCAATATCTCAGTAGCTCACAACTTTACACTAGATGCTAATAAATCTAAAATAATGTTTTTTGGGTCAGGAAACCAGCGTAATATAGCAGAAAATCTTTGTCAATTAGCGATTGATAAAATTCCATTACCAATTGTAACCATTAGCAAACATTCAGGGTTATGGTTGGACAATGAATTCAAATTTGATTTCCATATTTAAGTGTGATGCTTTTATAATTTCAAGGGTTTCATACTGCGAAAGTGTATATGTCCCACCTATAATACAAAAATGATGAAGACAAGTTACAATGACTACAAAATTCTTGTTGCCGTTCTTCTGTAGGTATACGGAAAATTGATCACATAAGCCATGTGTACAAATAGAATTATGAGATGAACATGGAGAATCTCAGAAAATACGTTTATGATTGATTCATAAAATTTTAGTGAATAGGAAACCAGAATGTCAATTAAATAAACTCAACAAATTTTTTAAACATCAATAACTTGGCTACCAGAAATCGATAATTATTAGTTATACCTTACTTTAGGTCTCTCTACAAAAAGAGTTGTTATACTGCTGCCAAGTTATACAATAGTCTTCCATATGAATATCGAAATTATACTCTCAACAGTTTTAAAAAGAAGCTGAAGTCGTGGTTACTCAGCAGTACTTCATCACTCCTCACCACTCTGCCACCCAATCTACCTCGAGCTTTGAAATAAATTGTACACATGCGATAAATTTATCTGGTTTTACAAAAAAACATAAATCGCTGATCACTTCATTATTCTTTTTTGAGCCGTTCAGGTCATTTTCATATTAGGATATACGGTTGAGTTGAAAAATACCATCATGGTAACACTCCACCGATTCGATTCTCAAAATTTTAGTCTATCTATATAGTTTACCAATGTTGGACATATTATTAAAAAACAAGTCGATGAAATAATTTTTTCTGGGTGTAACACTCTAACATCCAAAGAACTTGAAAACTAATTTCCTAAATTTTTTGCAATTACAATACTTCCTTGCCATTAGTGAAAGACTTCATCAATACTTCACATACGACTTAATTGTTATACTACTTCAACATCCACATTGGGAGCCGTTTATGAACACTCAGCAGGACTCACCAAGAGCACGGCTATGGTGACCGCCCACGGCGAAGTAAGCCTAGACAGCGACCTAGTGATGTTCACCTCAGGATCGGAGAGGTTTTCGACGAGCAGCGTTGGGGTAAAATCGGCGTGGTTTCTGCTGTAGAACGTGGGAGCGAAGTGGTGTGTGTGGTTGAGCAGCAGAAGGGTGGCATCCACGTCCATGGGCGGCACTCATTTATGGGCGGCAGGCCGGCAAAGCACAGCTCGGCCCTGGAGAAGTGGTTCAGTAGTGAGTTCTGGCAAAGGTTCTATAACAAAAATGTTAATAAATATCAAGTCATTTGGAAAATACTGACTCCATTAATAGATTTGGGCGGATTAGCTCTAGGAAGTGTCGTTTTGTTTTAAAATTACAAAGTTTTCTATTGAAATACCTACTATCGATGTTCAACACTGAACAATTACGTGTATATATATATATATATATATATATACGAGCAGTAGTTACTGCCATTGCCAACAACCAGTTGGGCAAGAAATACAACCAATTGTTAATTGGGAAATTGGCAAAAAAGATTTATAGGCTGTAGTAAACCCTTTTAACGGTAAACTCGAGCTTTCGATTTCTCTATGGAACCATCTTCAGGAGCTGAAACAAATATGAAGCTAGCAACCAATACGGAAAGGATTTAAATTTTGAGACAACTTACTTGTCGCTGAGGTTGCGGCCAAATGGTGTTTCAAAACGAAAGCGTGGATGAGAGCACTTGTTGCAATTATAAAACCAAAAGGACGGACACATTGGGTTTATTGATAACGATGGAAACCATTGTTAGGTGTTAATACTATATATCAATACACCCGAACACATTGAAAATTATCGAACTGCAATTTTGGGGAAAAAACGTCCCTTCTAACATCCTACATCTGTTTCACGTGGAGAAAATGAGCGAAACCGGAAGAGTGATGTGTCGACAGATGACAGATAATTGTCGCGAAGGAATGTGGAAATGTAAACAACATTGCCAAATTTCAGGTATATTGTATAAGAGGGACGTTCGGTAAGAACTCATCCTATTTCCCAAAATGCTGGATAAAATTTGTTCTGGAAAAAGTGTAATTCATATGAGATGGATTGTATGAAAGTATTAAAAAAAATTATTATTACCCTGAGAACATTGTTGTAGTTAACATGATAAATAGTTGGAGTTGGGTTTTAATTTTGGGAGGACGTTAGATCAACTGGAACATGTAGACGTTCTAACTTTTCGCAATTCACCAAGTACGAATAAATGACACTAAGCTGCTTAACATCAGCCTTTTTATTCATACAATGATCTGTTATAAAAATGTGGGACATTTCTAAAAATAGACGTTTTGAAAGTTGTTGCTCCTTGTCAAGAACCTTAATACTGCCATAACTCATAGAATATCTGTGGTGTTAACATGCGATACCAAAGCACATCTCTCTGGATGTAATCTGGCATCACTTTTGTTTGAGGTTATCCTGCCGTTCAGTGATCTAGATGTTTGGCTTATGTAAACTAAATTACAGTTGTTACAATTAATGCGATAGACAGTGTTGGTTGAATCAAGCAACCGACAGTATAAGTCCTTTCCGTATTGGTTGCTAGCTTCATATTTGTGAAAGCTCTAGATTACCGCTAAAAGAGTTTACTAAAGCCTATACAATTTTTTGCACATTTCCCTATATATATGTGAGCAGTAGTCATTGCCATTGCCAACGACCAGTTGGGCAAAAATACAATTAATTGTCAATTGGCCAATTGCCAAACTTTTAGGCTTTAGTTAACTCTTTTGACGATAAAATCAAGCTTTCGGCATTCTCTATGGAGCCTTCATCAGGAACTGAAAACAATTGTGTATTATATACAGGGTGACTTCGAAGTTGAGTCATTTATTTTAACAGTGAGTAGATCTGATCAAAAGAAATGTTTTTTTCCTTTACCATTTTTCTGGTAAAATTAAAGTAACAAAGTTATAGCCGTTTGGAAGTTTGAGTACCGCCCTGTCTCAATAATAATATCGTGTGCTCGTGTTTGGCAACAACGGATATAATCCGCCTTATCGGTTCATCGCATCGGAAACAAAAAAGCGAAAGAATTTGGAACGATGTTTTTACAATCAGTTCAGTTATACATACAGTTAGTGTCAGTCGGTAACGCGTGTAAATAGTGTCTGTTGTGTGGCTCAAACGAAATAAAAAATGGCACATGTTTATGCGGATCGGTTTCCCAATCGAGTGCAACCAACCCCTCGTGCCTTTGTTAATGTAGTACAACGGGCTCGTGAATCAGGTGACTTAAGACCTCACAGGGGACCTCACGATGAAATACAGGTCCGCACTGAAATACTTGTCGGGAGGATACTTTATAAAACAAGGTAAATTTTTTTAATTTTTTTTTTATTTTTACACACATATTTTGGTTTATCTTCCTTCTACAATCATTATCTGAAAATTAATGACTCAACTTCAAAGTCACCCTGTATATATGGGTGGCGGGAACATAGATGCAGAGCCGGTGGGGGGAGATAGTACAAGCCAATCTGAGTCGATTTTACTATAGGAACTACTGTCCAAATATTAGCCGTTTTTGAATTATATTAATTTTTCAGATTTTATAAAATTAACGTCCTTTATATGTTAACCAAGTCCTAAAACTTGGAAATTGGGTGTTTCTTTTGATTTTCCTTGGTTTTACAATTTTTACAAATTGATACTCAAGTGACGTTATCTCATGCAGTAAGCTTCCGTGTGTGATTCTTTTCCTGACGACCTAAACTGTTCCCTGTTTTCTGTGATTCCTGACGACTTGGCTGCTGTGTGATTTGATTGTTCGTTGATCTCCCTATAGATGAACAGTGGCTGATGAAGAAAGAAGGCGGCCGTTCAGTTTCAAAGAATATGCCGATATCCTTTTCTACTATGGAGACCCTACTATCTCTACTTGCGCTGTGGCTCGACGGCTTGCATTATCCCAATGGCAAGTGTGGTATGTTTTGCATGAAAACATATTCCACCTTTACCACTACACACATGTGCACATCATAGAGGAAGGAGATCCCATGAGGCGCATGCAATTTCGTCATTTTATTGTAAATGCTGATGTTGAAGATAGCAATTATATAAGAAAAATTCTATGGACCGACGAAACAAAATTTGATAAAGACGGCATAACAAACTACCATAACGCTCACTATTGGCGTGAACGTACAGTGGGAAATCTTCATATGAAGAGACCAAATGGATCTCAAATGTGATTTTGTCTGAATGTCTGGATGGGCATTACAAATAACTGTTTGGTAGGACCACATTTGCTACCCGACAACTTAAATGGAGAAGCCTACAAAAATTTCTTAAGAAATGTTCTATTTGAATTACTTACAGAATGATTTTTCAGCATGACGGGTGCCCAGCACATTTCAGACTAAGTTAGAAATTGGTTAAATGAGCAGTTTCCGAATCGATGGATCGGTAGAGGCGGACCAATTCCATGCCCACGTCTCACACCTATGGACTTTTTTGTGTGGGGTCACTTGAAAGCTTTAGTATACTCTGATCAAAATCGTGTTCCCACAATAGAAGACCTCAGAAACAGGATAATACATGCAGCACAAGAAATTCAAGCCTCTCTTAGGAATTCGGCGGTAGTAAAATCAGCTGTCATGAGAAGAGCACGTGTGTGCATTAGAAATAGAGGGCGCCATATTGAAAATGTATTATAAAAATAAAAAAATGTAGTTTCAAACAATTAAGGTATGATTTTGTAAGTGTAGTATTTTTATTGCTTTTCACTTCCTCCTCTTATAATAGTCATATTTTTGCCAATTCCTAATCGATTTGTGATTTTTATACCTCATTTGAAAGGTAACGAAAAGTAGATGTTTTCTAATTATTTTGTACGAAAAATTTGTAAGCGACTTTTTCTAGTAAACTGAATCTTTTGAGATGAACGAATATTTTTTTAACAAAAATCGAACTATTTTGAAGCTTACTGCATGAGATAACGTCAATAATGTACATTTGAGTATCAATTTTTGTATTTTAGAATATTTTTATTGTAAAACCAAAAAAAAAAATCAAATTAAACACCCAGTTTTCAAGTCTTATGACTTGGTTAACGTATAAAGGACGTTAATTTTTTAAAATCTTAAAAATTAGTATAATTGGAAAACGGATAATTTTCGGACAGTAGTAACATTGACTCAGATTGGCTTGTACTATCTCCCCCCACCGGCTCCGTATCTATTTTCCCATCACCCTGGATACACAGGGTGTAAAGTTAGTAGTGGATCAACAGAAGCCAGGTGATAGAGGGCCTCAAAACCTATCGAATGAACTCCTATATGCGAGGCCCAAAATTTTATAGTTCAGGAGATGTTTGCAATTTTGTGATATTTCGAAAATAAAATGGGACAATGAACTTTCAATCGGAATTACAAATAAACTATTAGATTTAGAGCTGTGATTTTTTCTTGAGATGAGCTAAATGGTTAGTTTTAGCAATGTTTATGTCACTTTTTAACAGAGCGAATTATAAATCAACCCAAAAGATCTTAAATTTCAGCTTGCAACGATGAGTGCCTCACTTTAAAAAAATCTGTATGTTTGTCGCAGGGGGTATCTATACATGTAAACAAGAAATTCTACTTTACAACCTGATAGAGTTTGACATATGAGGTACTGTTAGATTCGTCCTAGCAGCGCGAGTGATACTGTATGTATTAACATTTTGTGAACTCAAAATGGCAAATTTTTTAAGCAAATAGCCAACTCAGCTTAATAAGCTTGGGCATTCGACTCGGCATTCCAGATGCGGGAGCGTTCAATCTTCGGTCCAATCGAAATTACTTAGTCAGACATGGTCCATCACGGAATTTGTATCTAACGTTTGGCATCTGAGTAGAATCATGTCATATTCTCCGCGAGATTATGCAGAAATGCATTACTATTATGGTGCTGCGCTAGGAAATGCTCGAGCAGCTGCTCGCATGTATCGGGAGTATGTGGTTAGAAGAGGTGGACCACAAACGGCACGGGTATCATGTAAAAAACCTATAAAACTTCAAAAAAAACCTATAAGATGTCAACTTGCAGACTAGGTAGCTAGGTAGTTTTTAGGGCGTAAACAGGCATTCCACGTTTGCTCACTAGGATCGTTGTGAACGTCCATCTATAGAGGAATCACTCAACTAAACTACTCGCATTATTGGTTGCACGATTTTGTGAGGCTGAGTGATCCGTGTCTGTAGTTTTTATCCCTAAGAAGAAAGTTGGTTGAATATC